CCGATGCCCTTGCTGGCAGCCCTGCTCAGCGTGGCTCGCCAGGCAATCGCCGAGCCGGCCTCGTAGGTCTTGCGCAAACCCGTTTTATTTGCATCCTGATTGTTTTGTTTTCGGTAACACACAAAAAATCCAACGTGCCATTTTCGTAGAAGTGCAATGAAATCCACCGGTAGCGCCTCGCTAGGCAATGATAAATTGCACTACTCTTTGTTCCGTAACCTTTCTGACAACAGGCTCCATTTCATTCTGGCAGTCTTCAATGATCTGTGATTATCGTGTCCTTCCTGAGGCATAGAAGAACAATGCCATTATTCCTCTCCCTAAGCCGGGTAAAGACGTCCCGAGATCCCTCAAATTGTCTCCTCATTGCGCTCATTACCATGCCATTATACCATATCATTATCATTTAATTAGCACAGAGAACTTTTTGAACGGTCGACGGGCAAACGGATTTCATGAGTAATGGAACGAGGCGGCCTTTTTCACCAAATCAATGGGAATTTCAGCGCAATCGCAGCACAGTAGACCACATCGTCTGACTTGACACTGACATTCAACTGTGCTTTACGTTACAGACATCATACGCCTGTTGGTATATCCCATCATACGCCCAGCCGACGAATCTGTAAGATTCGTCAGCTGGGGTTTATAGGACGTTCAGACCATTGGCGTTGAATTGGTTTTTGGCACAATGCTATTTCGCATGAGATGCAGCTAGTAATTACGTGGGTTCAGAAACGTGTGCTGTTTCCGAAACCCACCATCTTGAGGACGGCCTCGTATGGGGAAGCTGCATCTCACCGATTACCGGTAACTTTATGATTCATAACGTAATTGACACATTACTTCTGGGCATATCGTCATCATGTGTTGCTATAATGGCGTATTTGGTGCTCAGAGCCGAATACGGCCACGCGTTACCTCGACTCAACGCAGCCATGAGTAAAGTGCAGAGTTGGTCTGAACGTTACGGGCACCGTTTCTCCGCTCCGAAACCTGACGTTATGATCTCCAGTAAATAAAGGCGTGATTTTTCGCAATTTCCGACTTCAGCTGGATGGACACTATATATCGTCATCGTACTTGACCTAAGGCTGTCAATGAGAAAACACGTGGAACGTGTGGGCTCCAAACGTCTACAAAAGCTGAATTTCTTCAGATGCATGTCCGGGTCACGAGCGGTTCCCACCGCCGCAAAATCGCTTATTGATTAGTCTTGAGTTATTTCCACTATTGAACGCGACTCCCTGGAATATACCGGAGGAAGCCAACACACTCTTCAGCATTTTTGTTCCATTTGAAGCACGCCTTTTGCGAATCGTGCAGGGAATAATGCACACTGCTCCAATTTGGGCACTTTAGGTGGACACGCACATTATGCCTCTCACTCTCCGCCACATTGATCGCACCTTACGATGCGTGACAAAACTGCGACAAACAACCGTAATTCATTCGGCCAGCGGAAAGCCGGTCAGTCCTCACCACCGTATATCGCACTGTACCTAATTGCAACAGTTTTAAATTTGTTTTACCGCGTTCCTCCGTGCCACCTGCCTTAAGTGAGGGACAATGGTATTTAAATGCACGATGGTTTTTTTCTCATTTTTTATGATCGGAAACACACTGTGACAACCGCCTTTGCTTAACGAACGTCTAACCAACTAGTGGTTGATTACCCGGTGTAAAGTTATTTACACAGCTGAGTCCAACACTAATAGGTGTTTAATTAATTTGCACTAAATAGCGTGATACAAATGGTCGTTCCCCGCATGGCACCTCGGTTTATTTGGCTGAATTATTTGAACTTCTCCTAGCGCTCCAACTTATTCTATAACACAGTCGAACCCTACTGCAATAGTAATATGTTCCGATTCCAATGCAGCGGTACAATCAATTGTCGACCCAGATTTTACCCACCACCTCCTTGGGAATGTCGTCAGCCTTAATCATGTATTACACACACAGGACATGGACACATGACTGTTGTGGATTCCAGGCCATAGGTGTATCACGGGTGATGGGAGGGCTGGCCAACTAGCCAAAAAAGCTTTGATAGTCCCTCACATAACACAGATCCTTGTTAATCAGGTATCTATGAAGTCTTTGATTCGCACGTTGGACCGACTTGGGCACTGTCCAGACACCGTGACAACAGTGTGCAAACCAATGAAATTGACTGGTGCGGGCAAAGGTCATCAGGTGAAGCGGCAGCCAAAGCGGGGCTAGCAGCACTTCTGTCGCCTACATCCAAGGGAGTATCAATGCCAGAGGCGGAGTTCGAATCCGTGTCAGTACCTTCATTAGGCTTACAACGTGTCCCCATACCGTGAGCGGGAAAACGCCAATATAAACGAAGTAAAAAGAGGTGCGCTTGCAAGGAGCGCAATCCGAAAAGACACAAAACGACGATGAGCTGAAAACAAACTCCTCGGCTAACAGGCTCCGATGGAAAAAACACTAGCACGAAGATGTCTTCTATTCGAACACAAATCACGTTTTGCTACATAACACAGGAAATTGGTCAGAGAGGGACAACTTATGATGGAGGTAAGACCGGGAGCCTAACATCTTGAGCAGTGTCATAACCGAGCATGTGTACCCTTACTTTTGGAACCCGCCAAAAAATCTTCAGTAACAACACGAAAGGGCCAAAATACAGGCGCATGACGCCATTCGGCTCCTCAAAGATGTCTCAGCAACACAACGACACCTCTCGACAAGTTGAAGTACTGTAAGTGAGTAAGCCCGTCCGCTACAGTGGCAGTTCTAACACGGCCATGCTGGCAGCGACATGACGTCATGTATGTTTTCCATAGCTTTATCCAGTCAATGATGTATTGAGCTGCGTATTTACTGAAAAGTGAAACTTTGTTGCCTAAAGTGAGCTGATTTCGTCGCACATGATGTTGATCTCAATATATTCAAATATGGAACATCTCCTTTAAACCCATGTTGTTGTCCTGGATGGGTCCGGCCCGTTTTTTTTTTTAGCACAGTCTGTTTTGCAAAGACGCGATGCCGGAAGTTATTCTCGCAAAACCTTCCCACAAAACTGCATTCATGGAACTACGTAGAACCGTGAAGAACGGAGTTCTCCGCTTTTGAACCAGCGTGACGAATTAGCGCCAAGGTACATCGAAGATTACCTAGCAGAGGTAGTAATTGATGTATAATGCTATCAGCGTGATCCAAAATATTCACCGTTATGCTATCGGGCGTGGGAGTGAAGGAATTCACTGTCTCCTTACTCTGCCGAAGGTGACAGAACCAAGGAAGTCGGCGAGCCAACATCCGATCGTTATTCAAGGAAATAAACCCTGTTCTCCATTTATCGGGTATTTCAAAGCACTTACCCTTTTTAGTTTTATAACTTCGCTGGTGAATGCTTGCGTGCCGCGCTCATCTGCTGACGTTTGTTTGTCATGACTGTGTGCAAACACCTTGATGCAAGTGCGGGTTTCTGGGCAGTCTATACCATGGGGTCGAGGTTCCACCGAAAAGTCACGCGTCCAGTCACGGGTTTGAAGTCTGACACCTTGATTCAATCGGTCCTTCTCAGGCAAGCCAGCTAGTACGCATCAGTAAGTTGTGTCTTACACTCAGAACGCAGGTTCACCGGCAAAGTGTCACGCAGACCCAACGCCATCCGGCGCTCACTTCCAGCGCTGCCGCATCGGCCGCAGGGCGTCCACCGATCACTCTCAGTCTCTCGGGAGAGCCTCTGGAGATCAGTCTCAGTCTCTCAGGAGAGTGGAGATCAGCCTCAGGTGGGAGAGTCTTGTAAGACCGATCTCAGCGTAGGGCAGTCTTTCTGGAGGGCTACGTTATGGTTCCACGCGTAAAAGGTCGGTTGCATGTTATAACTTTAAGTAGGCAATTCGTTGCTCCAAATCTTCACAACAGCATGTTTTGTCTTCCGCTATAACCAATGTGGGAGGTATCGAGGTTTTGAATCAGCTACAATGGGATGTCCTCCATAATGACCAGCGCCAGGGGCGGGGTGAACCAAGTATCCAGCACTGACCAGTCTGGAACCCTCCGCGTCCCGATACGTGGCTTCTCTTGCACGCTGTGCTTCCGTATCAGGAAATATGAGCGCATTGGTGCCATGACTCGCTTTAGCACGTCCACATAGCCGCGCGGAACTTGTATGCACTTCTACAGGTACGAATTGCATTCCTTTGAGAAAAAGAGCGGCAGACTGACCCTCCGCCCGATTCCGTACTTGCGCGTCACCAGCGCAACACCACGTGGTGATATTCCGCCCGATTCCGTACTTGCGCGTCACCAGCGCAACACCAGGTGGTGACATCGATCTACCATCACTGTTTCCAGGCGTGCCACGTTTCCAGCTGATATATATTGGGCAGGATACGAATACGAACAGCTTATTAACAACAATATAATAGCAGCACATGAAATCTGCCCGGCCTCCAACGTCCCAACCCTAGCAGTGTTCTCAGAAGCACCTGCAGTCTGCCTAAGGCGCACTCTTACCGCACACTCTTCGTCATCCGGTTTTGACGTCATTGCGAAAGCTTACCGCATTTGCTGTGTAACACGCCGGAATGCCTGCTTTTCGTGAAAAAAAACATACAATCGCTCTTAAAGGTGCCAGCATCGTATGATGTGGCCACGTTAGCTGACAGGGCCACAGGTGACAGTTTTAGCGTTTTGAACTTGACCAGAAATGGAAATTACATCACGCCTCCTCCTGCCCGTTCACCATCCGAGATCACGCCTCCCCCCCCCCCCCTGCCCGTTCACCATCCGAGATCATGCCTCCCCCTGCCCGTCACCGTCCGCAATCACGTCTCCTCCTGCACGTCCACAACGCGAGATCTCGCCTGTTCCCGCTCGTCACCGTCCGGGATCACACCCCTTCCGCCCGTTCACCATCCGAGACCTCGCCTCCCCCTGCCCGGTCACCATCCAAGATCATATCCTATAGCGGGTTTCCTGGGCGCCCATTAAACGACAGCTTTTTCTTACACAGGTTACGTATTTCTGTGCGTATATTCACCAAATCATCCTAGTCCGTAAAACTGAATCGCAACGCGTGGAGACACTCAGCGCAGCGGCTATCCTCCGGCGAACAGAAGTCATTGCGACTCTGAGAGGCACCCTACAATCGCCAGACTGGCACGACCGCACACAGGCCTTAGCGTTCCGCTCCGCGAAGCCGGCGCCGGCACGTTCAACGGCGTCACTCGGTTACTATGTCACCGCATATCAGCAGGGGCTGATGGTAGGTGGGCATGCTGACATCATCAGAAGAGATACACCGTCGATGGGATGGCCTCGTTGGTAGGTGCCGACGCCATCAGGAAGTGGTGACGTCATCAATACGGGCTGACGTCAACATCGACAGCCATGCTCTCGAAACCGCACATGTCGTTGCCGCGCTCGATCCTGCGAATACGGTGGATAGTCACGGTACTGAAGGTTGGCGGGTCGCCGCTGGATGCCACTGTTGGCACCTTGAGTGGCTACAGTTTCAGGTAACAGCAGTACAACATAAAAGGAAGCACAGCCTGAGGTATAACAGCTCACACGGTTACATAAGAACATGTTACTAGAAAAACACCATATAAATCAAAACTGGAAATGCTCAGTGATGAAACGAAAATCGGGCACTGAAACTTTTGATAAGCTACAACGGAAACCTTCACAAGCAAGACTGACTACTCATCGGACCCATTCGCTGAACGCGGAGTATATTCCCGGCCGGTTCATCGTACCTGAAGAAGCCCTTCTCACCCCACCCTTCTCCCCAGGAGTTCTTGACAATCCAGTACTTTTTGCCGTCCTCCTCTCCATACCCCACGAGCAGGACGGCGTGATTGGTCAGCTGGCAAGGTGAAACGATTCAGCAGGGTGCGTTAGGCGATGTGATTGGTCACTTTTGTCGGGTGGACATCAGGTTTTAGGCGCGCGACAGGACATCTTTGAACTCAGCCTTGCCCGCGCCAGAAGCCACCGAAGGTCAATTTAAAGATAAAGAACAAACGTCGCTGGCTCCGTCATCTGGCGTGAAGTGAGAGAATTGGCGAATGAAGCACTTCGCCTACGGGCGTCATGCGACGCGTCAACCACTGACACCATGTCACGACACAGGCAAGGCAACGACACACTGACTCGAAACCTGAACAGAAAGCAACACAAGTCTACCTCCAGGGGATCGAAGCCGAACTTTCTGGTCCTCACGACGTGGTGATAGATGCCGCCCTGAGTAGTCCATGAAGTCTGGATAAACCTCGAATCCCACCGGAAGTGGGCCCTTCTCCACCAGCGTGCGCATCATCTCCAGCTCACTGCAGCCGCCGAAGAACCCTACCGGGTCCAGGACAACCGTCAGTCTACCAGCACGCCAAGAGAGCGAGCATCATCTTCAGCTAGATGTGGCAGCCGAAAGACTGCCGTCCGACTGACGAAAGACTAGAAATACCCGATCCGGTGTCGTTTGAAAACTCCTCCGATGAACGTGACCCGGCGGGTGTGGTACTTCCTTCTCTCCCAGACCCCATCTCACCGCCGACGTAGCGGAACGCGTAGGTGAAGATACGGTGGCAGCCGGGGTCGGTGGTGCACTGCTTGGTGTCTGTGCCCTTGTACGGGTTACACGACTCCATGACGATGCCGTAGTCCTGCCAGGAGGAGATCGTCCGGAAAGAGCATCAAACAGGCGGGCTGAACAGCCGCCAGCCGAGCTTGCTGCAGCCACTGGCGTTAGCAGGGATCACTGCTCCCTCCTCTACCCTTGATAGGCGGCCAGAGCAGGCAAGCGGTCTGTGCCACAAGCCACCACGGCTCGGCCGGCGTCTTACTCGTCACGCTCTCGCTGGGGACTGCACCAACAGCAGGGGGCCTGATGGAGTGTCGGATGCAACGCAGCTCTTCGTCAGAGAGTAGAAGAAGACCAGGTTGATAAGTGATAGAGCAGACCTCATACGGTGCCGCACAGAGCACAGCACTTACACCAAGCGGTTTGATCTGAATTGATCACTCTCCGCCCAACGAGCTGTCGCTCACTAGGCACGGAATGGAGGAGAGGGCACTGACAATGCCACACAGTAAATCCCTTTCTGACCATGCCCTTCAGGGCAGAGTTTACTGACGATAGCAGACGCGGAGCATGTCTTGGCGAGCTGCGCGGTACCCGCTGACCACACCCTACGTAAGATCACGGACTGACCGGATCCTAGGTATATGTTCGCTTGACACTGACCATGCCGTACTTCCCGGCGATCAGGTAGGGGAAGCCGCCGGCGCAGCCCTGGCTGTACTGGCTGCAGCTGACGATGTCTTGCGGTGAGAACACAGGCTGCATGGTGTTGTTGGTGAGGATGCGCACGCGTGACTCCAGCGCCGCCATCGAGGCGAACGCGTAGCACGAGCCGCACGTTCCCTGGTTCCTGCGAAAGGGGGCACGGGATCCATCAGCAACGGCCATGGCCTGCCGGGACCAGGGGAAGAGGAGAGTCTTGCCAGGGCAGATGGCACGCGCTACGCTTGACATCTGCTGACAGCAAGATATTACGCGAGCGCCGGTGGCTAAAACCGAGAAGATGGGTAACGGGTATATCGATTGCTTCATAGGCGGCATCACACGGTTTCAAGGAACTCTGTAGAAAAGCAACAAGTTACAAGCATACTCATTGTGCCTCAGATAAAAGCTTCAGCACCAGCAACTTCACCGATAAGACAAAAGATGCTATTGAAGAATATCACCAATGTCCGGACCATGTTTCATCGGCAGCGACGTGCCAATGACAGCATAGTAACCATGGAAACCGTGACAACTAGTCTCCATGAACCCGTCCAAGCTCTGCGCTGGCTCGTCGTTTTCGCACCTGATGGGGGAGACGTAGTTGACGCCGCGGACGTCGCGCCAGTCCCAGGCGCGCGGCAGCCGCTCGCGGAGCGCGCGCTCCAGGAGCCGCGAGGGTGAGGAGCGGAGCCGGGTCACGCCGTACACACGCGACAGATGGCCACCGGAGCGGCGCTGCATGTCTGCCGGGCGAGCAGCCACCGGTCAGTGCCTCGGAAACAGGCGCCTGCCTCCTGCTGCAACAGCTGCCAGCGAAAGTGATCCAAGTGGGAAATGACTTAGACGATAGCTGAGTTGACGACGTCTAACGACTTGGATCAATGGGCGTCCCAGTGACCCAAACGCATTCAAGAAACGTATCCATGAAAGAAAAGGTGCCATCGAAAGAATGAACCGTGTTCGAGTGCTACCCGGTGAAGTACGAGTGATTGTGGAGACCTTGTGTTTGAAAAGTGACCAATTTCTACAAAAATAAAGTGGTCGAAAGAAACGCAGTGTCAGAATCGGTCCCCGTCCCGAGTCGTGTCCAGAATGTCATGACTGTCCAGCGAATGTCCGGGTTTACAGTAGTGTTCAATCTTTAAAGAGGGTCACTAACCAAGCAAGCTCTCGGCAAGCTGCATGTTTGCTAAGCACGCAGCGATGCACATAAGGAGTTTGAAAATGAAGGGGTAGGAACCTTAAGATGCGCAGGTTCAGTGTCCACCCCACAATACGTGATCGTTCTTGCTCAACACACACAATAACCTGTTTCCATTTCATCGGATATCAGTACAGTTATGCCGTTTGTTACGTACATCCAATGTCCTTGTGTATCTCTTCCTTGTCGGAAAGGCTACAGAGCGACCGTCGATCTTCTAATCACATGAAAGAAACTTAGATCCTGGCAACTCCATGCGTTGATAAACGTAACCGCTCTGCGGCCGTGTTGAAGAGTTGGCTCCACTACACTCACACACAAAACGGAGTAGATCGCTACCCGGCCCCGAATGAAAATTCTGCAGCTTATACCCTGCGCATTGCTTACACCTTTCACTTTGCCCACAAGTCGGCCAGAGCGGGCTCTGTTGCGGCTGATCAGCCCGAATGATTAGGGCAATCCTGTGGCGGCACGTGGCGGCCCACCACCACCCCCACCGGGAAGGGGGTACGCGAGACGCCGCGGATTAGACGCCGCGTCACGCCAGAGGCCGCACGCTCCGCTGGCCCGCCTGCTGCTCGGTGCACGAGACAGTCCCACCGAACAAGGGCTGACAGCCCAGCTGGAGGACGAAGCCAGGATAATGGCTCATGTGGTCGGTCAGTTTTACATTTAGCGATTTAGCACAGAACGTCAGAAACGTTCTGTGCTAAATCGCCAACGTCTCAAATTGTACCGGCGAGGTTTGCGATGCATTTCGAAAGGCCATGCTATTGGTGGGTACAGACGGCCTGACCCAGATAAGACCTCGAACCGGATCGAACCAGATTGGCACAGCTCTTCACCTAAGCGCGTGAACTGCTCGTGTTCGGGATAGGCAGCTGCTGTCCAGCCGAAGTCGCCGATGTTAATGAAGTCGACTCGGTCCTGGCTGTTCCTGTGCATCACGGTGTCACTTGCCTCGCGTACCATCTGCACAACAGGAGACCATTGTTACGCAATGCGAGCGAAAAACGAGGGATGGACATTTACATCTGGTAGGTGTTGGTTGTCAAGGGAGGGTGCATATTGGCAACAAGTTTTTTTTCCAAGAGACGTTAGAATGGCAGCAAGGCAACGTCTCTTGGACAGACACCCAATACTTCCTGCTTGGAAGCCTCATAAATGTTCCTGTAAGACTTACACGCACGTGCAGTTTCAGCGGTGTCCACGACTGATCCGCCGCCTGTACCGAATTCATAGTCCCCCACGTTAGCAGCTATATATTCAGCCGTACGACCACTTGGGCAAGACTGTCCGCTGAGCCCGACACCCCCAAAGTGCAGGCAGTTCAACACATTTCCTCCGATATCCTTTCAGCCGACCATTATGAGCGTGCATGAAACACATCCCAGGACTTTTGTTTACACCATGCGAAACCAAATTGCGAGCATGCGAGACCCCTAGTCATATGTGACCAGCCCTTCAACGGCTTTTCACCACGTCGTGACAAGGGCACCACCGCCCTCGCCGGCGGTGACCCTTGACCCCGCCCCGTGACCGAGTCCTGATCCGTGCCACGGCGGACGCACCTGGTGCGAGGCAGGCGCCGGCTCGACTTGCATCAGCTTCTGGCCGCGGAAGCAGGCCCAGTTGTGGGTCATGAAGTCGTGCGACCAGCCCGTCTTGGTCCGATGGCAGAGACTGTCCACGCTGCCGTCGCCGTTCTTATTATAGTCGCTGAAGGCGAAGTAAACGCGGCCCATCAGGCGCACCTCGAAACCCTGGAACGGGGCGTCAGAAGGGTGTGTGAACAGTTGTCTCAGAGAGAGATGGGTCGCAAAATCTGATTAGTAAAGCTGGTTTGTACCTAAAGAAAATGCCCAATTGTCCAAGCAGGAAAACCGTTGTGATCGAAGATGGGAAGAGCTCAAGGTCTCCCGCTGGCAATTCGCCCAAAACTGCTCTGAAAGCAGAACGAGCAGTTACAGAACACGCCCCAGAGTGTCAGCTCTTCCGCATTACCCATGCGTCAGCATGCCTTTTGCGAGGCTGTAAAGAAAGGGCTGGCCGTCACCTGGTTGTAGATGATAGTCCAGGTGCCCACGTTGCCGTACTGGTCCTCGGCTGAGTCGGGATACTCCAGGAGCACGGTGAACTTTTTATCAAAGGCGTCTAGCGGAGCAAGTGGTAAACAGACGGTGAACCGGTGGCAGCTTATTTGGCATCCTAAAGGTCACGAACTGAAGCAGAGTCTACTGATGTTGCTCGACACGTCCTTGCTCAGAATCACATAAACTTCCTACATTATTGGCCAACGTGGTCAAGTCAGCCTCGGCGTTCACAAACAAGATGATACGCCTTTGCTCGCGAGCATGTGAGCGCTAAGACTTCTCGCCAGTTGTGTTGCGGGTTTTTCACTACAGTGGACATAACATACTCATTTGTCATTCACACAGGATAGAAAATAATATTTTAATAATCGAAAGACATCGCCAGAGACCCACACACACATTAACAACATTTTATAATGACCAGCCTGCTTGATTTTCACATATTTTGCTCCTATTTCGCCTCCAAGCGCCTTGCGACAAAAATATGCACGTTGATGACAAACCCGTAGCCATCTCTCATCACAAAGTTCGTTGATGCTGGGGTCGGTTTTGACCACCTTTTTCGGAGGACGGCTTTAAATGCGATCAGTCATGAGCTATGAAATGTTTCGTATTCCGTGAAACATGCCACAGTACCGCAACAAGCATATAGACCCCAAAGATGATGATGATGATTTGCGGTTTTTGGGCGCATCGACTGCTGCAGGTTATGCAGCACCCATAACTATCATCTTATGCATGACCGCAAATCAAGCAAGTGTATCAATCAAGTCACCCTATAAAAACCTTGATGATCAGGCCTGGCATTGTGATGAAAAGATTACTGAGAAATCTACAGCACTAAGAAACTGAAACATTACCAACCTCGACAGCATGCGAACAGTCCCCTAAAAAGTGACATAACGTGCGACTCTGGATGTTGTGTCCAAAAAACTGCACTCCCGTCGTAGTAAGGTGGCGGCAAGCAGCGAGCACGTGATACACGGTAAGCGGGTCAGAGCATCGAGCGCAGTGCGGTCTTTGGCCAGCAAATAACCTGAGCGTACGAAAAGCAGAGTGGGACCATCTCATGGCAAATGGGATTACTGCATCGTTTGCCACCCGTCATGAAGTGCAGACCTGTCCGCGCTTGCGTAAGCCTGTATACCATGCTGCTCTTCGATCATTGCATGTCGTTTCATGCGAAGTTGCAGGCGTTGAGTTGAATCACACAAAGTACGGCTGTGAGACGGGAGGTGTTTGGCACTAGGATACATATGCGATAAAAATGATGATTTGAACTTCAAGGAGCGCCGACCGCCCTTGTCACATGGCGCCAATAGTACCAGACACGCAAGGCAGCTGAACACTTACTATGAGTCGGGCAGTGAATGGCACTGTCGCCCATGGGCAGGCCCTCGTAGAAGGTCCAGCTGCCGCGGATGTCCTCGAAGCTGCAGTTGGCTGGCGTGTCGGCCAGAGACGGCGTCACCAGCGCCAGCCCCGTCACCAGCACAATCAGCAACATCTGCAAACGACGAACGTCGATGTCGTCACCATGACACTATTCTAACGGGCTAGTTTTCAAAATTGAATCCGTTCTATATTTTGGACCCGGCTGGCCATAGTAACCGTGTGATTCCGCAGCAGTCGGGTCACCGGGTCAATCGGGTCACCGCCAAACGAACGCAGGTCATAATCCTTTCATGATCGGCTAATGCATGGACAGTGACGCGCCGTGATATCTGTTAACTGGTTGGCATCATTGCACGGACACCACTTTTACTTTGAGAGACCTTGCTAACCTCAGGCATAGCAAGGATGTGATCTGATGTATGGTCTGCTGTGCGCAGCGGGAGCAACAGCGGGGGCGACAGCGGGGCGGCAGACGGGTCGGAGGACGGTACCAATCAGGTCATTTCTTTTGTTGACCACGGGTACTCACTCCGAGTATCCGCACTCCCGGGTGCTGGTGGACAAATCGGGTTGTGTGGGGTAATCCCAATCGAAAGGCTGGGTAGTAAGGTCAGCCCGGGGCTTGCTGTGACCTGCCGACTGGGTAGTGACATTAGCGCGACACCAGCCCCACACCGGCCTAGACCTGGGGAAGCCGGCTTGCTCGATGCCGCTTACCACAAGCCCGTGGTTTGCGGCAGGAAAAACACCGCACCGCGGACGAGATGCCGGCGGATGTTACATAACTGGCTTCAACAGTTTTAAGCGACTCCAATCAACAACCAAATCAACAACGAACACCAGGGATCATTCATCCCCCCCCCCCGTAGCAGCGCGCTGCCAAGTCATGTTTTTGTACGACAGGGCTGTTCCATGCTGTTCATGCATGCTGGCGTGTCATGGTGACGTCCCTCACCACTTTCCGTTGTTTTTGACAAACCGTTTCATCTTTCAGACTAGCGACATATCAAGGCCGCGTATGAATGTAGAGCGCAGTGTCTGAAGCTTAGGTGTTTCTCAATGGTTTTAGTCCCAAGACACTTTGTTCTCCACAAATATGCACTGGAAAAACTGTAAAAACATTGTTCTCTGTGATCGACGTCAGATTAAGGCAAGCTGTTCCTGAAAATTTGACAGCATGACGTGCCACAGTCACGACTAGACGAGCGATACTGCTTCCGGGTTACAGCCGAATCTCTCTACTTTATCACACACGATCTTTCCCTGCAATGCACTCAGCTCCCAGGTCCGTTGCTGCTCACCAGCACACGGTTAATCCACCTACCGTCAAACGACATTTTCCCTGTTTACATGGGCAGATGTGATTCGAATTGAGCCGGGATCCGTCCTCGATCCGAACTATTCGGCCCACGTATACACTCGCGCACCGTACCGCTGATTCGAATCGTGCGCCGGCGGATATCCCTTCGCGTGAGAGGATCATCCGTTCAGGAAGGGATTTCGTTCGAATTATTGGTGGTCAGCTGTCCAGACAAAAAAAGAAGAAAAACTGCCTGACGCATGCAGCTCCGTTCCAGGCCATTTCAGCTCTGTTTGGCGTTGCCGCCTTTCCACGGGTTTTAGCTATTGCTCAAGACGATCCAAGTCCAAGATTGATAAGAAAAGGGAAAGAAGGTGAAGTTGACACCGTGCTGCTTAAAGTACTCTAACTATTGAGGGCCCTTGGCGGCTAGCAGCACAGAAATGCTCACGTAATTTAACCTTGTTAGGCGCTTGATCTATGCAAACAGCAGGCGTCAGCAGTGTTTGGTGTTATCTTTCCGTCTCAAGGTTAGATTAATTTACATCTGGGGCAGGCCCCATGCTTCCAAAAACCATGTGGAGGTAACACGGTCATTTTGTATAGCTTTGACTTGTTCTCGCTTTAATTTTTGGATTGCTCTCGAAATTCTCGCAGAGAATGCCTCTAAGTTTCTTTCATTAAGGCCCCAGGATTGTTTTGCAGACGTTCCTCCAATTAGGATGCTAGTTGCTTGTCAGTTTAATTTGCGTGAGGAAGGTAACTTAAAAATTCCTGCATGACATGAAGGATACAAAATATCGATCATTACAGTCAGCTCAGAATGTGGACTAGTTTTAATGATAGGACCAAAATTGCCCAATGATAGTTTCAAAACATCAAGAAAGCAAATGTGAACACGGGATGAAAATAATTGTCATTAGTAGTCTGCTAAATACAGGTTTGTGTATTTCATGTGGAAGAAAACAGTGCATAAATTAAGTAACACCTAACACAATGGCGCATGCTGCACGGAGAAGATGTCTGTGGTGCATGTCATCGTCTGATTTTGTACTGGTGAGTAAATATGTTACCTTGGTGCATTTTTGTGATGGGTGTCTCTGCAAGCCATGAGGTCGGTAATTCAGCTGTTCAACAATTCTTGCAGAGAATACCAATAGCTTCTTTCATTAAGTGAATACATAAAGGCCCCAGGATTGATTTTGCAGGACGTTCGTCCTATGAATTCAACATTTGGCTGACAACCTATTGGCTGGCGGGATGTGCTCAATATTGGCGGCTGGTTGCTGAAGGAAATATGAAGATACATCACACTGGTAGACCAACTGGCAGGGAAGCAGGGCCTGAAATATTTGCTTTTAATGCAACTAGGTGGTTGGTTGCTTGTCATTTTAATGTGCGTGAGATAGGTAACCCAATATTTTCTGCGTGGTACAAAGGATCAACAAATATAGATCGTAGATCATTGCAGTCAGCTCGGAATGTGAACTATTTTTGATGATAGGACCAGAATTGTCCAATGACAGTTTCAAAGCATCAAGAACGCAAATGTGAACACTGGATGAGAAAGCTGTCATCAGTACTCAGCCAAATCCAGGTTTGTTTATTTCGCGTGGAAGAAAGTGCATAAATTGAGTAACACCTAACCCAAAGGCGCATGCCGCACAGAGAACATGTCTGTGGCGCATATCATTACCTTTTTTGTACTGGTGAGTAGATATGTTACTTTGGTACTTTTTTGTGATTGGTGTCTGCAAGCCATGAGGTAGGTAATTCAACTGTTGTTGTAATAAATAATTTGTTACGAGTTTTGCGCTAAGATTGTTTTTGTCATGACACATCTCTCGGCTGGTCCACATGTTATGCTCTTTGGACTGTGCAAACACAGCTGTTTTTGTCACCTAGCAATCAGTCCATATCAGCCCAATGCTGTTGACTGCAGGGATATAAAAGCAGTATTTCAACCCCGGTATGTCAAGAGAGCAAATAGCTGCGTTCTGACTTGCCAGTCCATGCCAAGTCTGGGTGGCAATGCTGCCCTCAGGCACCGATGATGCGTTGGATGGGGAAAGATAACATAAGTGCACAATTTTTGCCACTAACTGTGTAGCATTCATGAGTCATTTCTGTAGCTTAGCTCACTGTTGCAAGCTGCTCATAAGTGCATTAGTGTGGGAGTAGGTAATGTGTTTCTAGGGCTGCACAAAGCAGATGACATGATGCTGGGTGGCCCATCTGATCAGAGTGTGGTTAGTTTGTGAGTGTCATTGGCCAATACAAGAAATACTGATTTCCTGCTAGCCCTTGCATGGCAGCAAATATTCTCAGGTGTCACGGGCTCCTGGTGTATCTTAAATGTCATCCTAAATAATGACAGTCAGGACAGCAAGCCATGATGCTCATTGCAGAATGGGAAGCAGTAGCCTTGCTTGCACTTTTTGGAGCTATTGTCATGGTCTAACACATGGTTCTTTAACGTCATCTTTGTCATTGCCATGAAGCGGCTTATAGTTATATTTACCAGGTCACTTCGTTGTCATTCTTGATTGAACACCTGTGATCAAAGAAACGGTTTCTAGCAGAATATATGCTGGAATGTCTGTAAATCAGCTTGTCCTGTTTTGTGCAAATTTATGTGTTCTGACATTGCCATGAAGCGGCTTACAGTTTTATCAGTTCACTTCTTTGCCATTCTTGATCAAATACCCATGATCGAACAAACTTTCTAGCACAAATATATGTTGGAATATCTGTAAATGAGCTTTTTCTGTTTTGTGCAAATTTCTGTGTTCGTGCTCCCTGCAATGCACAATGTTCACATGTCTCAGGCCCACTAGTAAAATTTTCATGTAACACTACGTATGGGACAGATTTGGCAGTGCTGACTATGCAGATTTTGTGTTTTAAGTGCTATGGCTTATGCTGTGGCCATAAAGCATGAGTCCCGTACAGATCGTTTTCCAACGGAGTCCATCTCCCTCCTCGCCTTCAAAGCCGTCTTGCGCCCACCATGGCTCTTGACATTCGCCATCCATACGCAGAGTACCAATATTTTTTCAATTCGCCCAAAGGCGCAGTTTTCGCCCATAATCCGCTGCTCGATTCGAAATGAGCGGGATCGAACTATCAACCGTTAATCCGACGTAAAGCCGGTTTCGCCCACATAAACACACCTCGGCGAAAGGTTCAACGTCGCATTGTAGCACGCATAAGAAGTTAAACTCTTCATAAAACTTCACAAAAGGTTTTCTGGCAGTGCTGTATTGTGATAGCGCCACACCGGTTGCGGTGCGGGCGGCACCTGGGCTCTGAGCGTGCGCTCGGGTCTGAGGCTCGGAACTAACAGTGGACCACGCAGGGCCCTTTTTATACCACAGCCTTGGCGTACCCCGCCCTTGGAGCGACGCACACAATCTGGATGTTCACGAGGCCGAGTAGACGCGTTGCATGATCAGCGCGTGATCGTAGTTTACGGGACAGCTCTGCAGCGCGTGATCATAGTTTGTAGGACAGCTCTGCGGCGCGTGGCGCACGGATGAATGTCGCGTGGGGCGTCGCCCGCGATTGCGCCCACTGATTCACCGCATGCTGTCGCGTTTGTTAGGGTTAGTCTAGATTATCGAGGTCATCTGGCGGGCCACGGTGGCCAATGGGGGCCACGGGGCCATGCCCCCCCCCCAAAAAAAAACTTCTGAGAGTATGTTTCGCCTCCCCTCCAAAAAACATTCCCTGAACTTCATAAAAGTTTCGTCTACTTACCGTCTGTTTTAACTCCGTTGAAGATTCAAAAGCATTTCGCTGCTTTTTTGTTTTGAATGGTGTCCCTACTGGGTACTCGCGGGAGGCACCATGCACTGGACCTCGGATCCCACACCAGTCAGCTGGCGACGAACGGTTGCCCCCCCCTCCCCCCCCACAAAAAAACTACTCCATGCTAGATCCGCCCCTGCATGTAAACCGGGTAATTGACGCGCTCAGGCACCGGGCCCCAGACCGCACCCAAAACAACAGCGTCTCTGGACGGCCCAGGGAGAAGCACAGACAACATCTCGTATGCGTCGCGATTCAAAGTTTCTGGATTGCACGCATAAATCAGAGCAACACAATACAAATTGATACGAAAGTAGACCAGGCCACACTAAAATGTACTTCTAAATTTAGGATGAAATCATATATTGATTAAGAGTTATTCACAATTAATTTTAAAAAGTACCCTTATTAAAATTGCGTTAGAAACTATCAGAAACAAACCT